ACATACATACATACATACATACATACATACATACATACATACATACATACATACACACATGCACCTACACAAACACACACACACACACACACACACACACACACATACACACACAGAGGATAAATGAACAACCACAGGCAGAAATATTTTAAATGAGACATTAAACAAAAAAAGCCATCCCCACTACTTCTATGGTCGTTAAACAAACTATCATTCATGTTGTCAGTATATAAACAATATAGTTATTAGGTCTACAAAGAGGAGAATATCAAAGGGAAGTAAGAGCACTTGGCCATATCTAGGGATGTGCACATTTCTCACTGAGGCATTCAAAAACGCTTGAACTTGAGTTCCCCCATCTGAATGGCCTGTGAAATAAAAAATAGTCTGATGTCCTGTCAACAGTGTGCTACTCTGCTTTCCCCAACCTACTCCCGTTCTTCTCCCACTCTTGAATGGTGCCACTTATTTACTACAAACTCGCTGCTGTTTTGGGGTGTTTTTTATATTGGTGTTTTTTACACCCCCATCAAAACAATTTCGATCATTTAAGAGGCAGACGTCCCACCCTGCCTGTCAGGGCCAACACGGCCTGGGAAGGATAGAACATCCCAGCAGAAAGACCGAACAAAATACCAAGATACTCTGTAAAAATTTCTCCCCTCTAGAAATCACTCGAGTCTCCTGCATGTGGCTGGTAAGTGCCAAACCATTACACCAAACACTCTCTGCTGTAGCTGTGAAATTTGTCTCTATACTTTCTCGACAATAGAGCACCTTCTTCATACCCATCTATTAGCCAAAGGAAAATCTTTTCCCCAACAAAACCGTAACAATTCTCCCCTTTAAAAATTACATATTTTGATATCTAGAAAGGTGAAGTTTTTTAGAAATATTTGTTCAATTACTCAGGGTTGAACATTTGGCACTTGTGAGTGAATGAGAAAATCAGAAACAGGAAAAAACATCATGACTTTTTTCGCTGCCATTACCAAAAACAAAGTTGAATTTTTAGAAAAAAATCTCGAGAACGCACATCCATAAATATCCACACTAGAAGTCTCAATAGACCTTCAGTTACCAAGCAATACAGCACATTTTGTTAACATCTACATCTGCATGTATGTACGTACCACAGAATAGGGAAAAATTCTTCAAAGTGTATCTTGTCATAAAGGTAGTGAATCAAGATCTACATTACATATTAGAATTATTGCTATGTGATTATTCTTAGTCAATAATTGTTGTTATATAACCCAAAACCAGCCATACATTACAGAAACAATGAAGTCCGCACAAACTGAACATGCTTAACTAATAAACAGCTACAACTTTACGGAAAGAAAATAAATCCTCTATTTATTTGTTCTTGTAATTAAGGGGGGGGGGGGGGGCTACATCCCCAAAATCAAAATTCGGCTCAAAATCAAGGAATTTGAGTTGTAGGCATTTTTAGCTTCCTCAGCCTCTCCTACAACTATTTCATGGCATAAGAACCCCGTAAAACCGTATTTTTTTCCCGTACCGGGCATGTTTGTAACCGCCATTTCCTCATAAAGTCAGTATTTTATTTTTCTTTATCGGCCGTTTTCTCAAAATGAGACTTATCTCCATACTTTTTTGAATAACTCCACCATTTTTCATCCAATCTTCATAAAATTTTCACAGAATGAAGAAAGGATGTAATACTAAAAGTTTGTGTGTTAAATTTTTGATATATGAAATAGATTTTTGTTGGTGGTGTCTGGAGTGTGGATTTTCACGGATTTTTCGCAAACTTGAATGCTACCGTAATTCGATTAGGGAAAAAACAACATACAAATTTTTAGATCTAATGTTTGTGAACATGCATGCCAAAAAACAATCAATTTCCATGAGCGATAAGTGCGGTATTCATTACGTAAGACATGTCAATAAAATCCAATATGACGGTGTATCCATGGAAACGAAACTTTTTTCTCAAATTTGATTACGGATTTTAGAACTCCTTACTATGCTTGTTATATGTGTGAAATTTGGTAAAATTCGGTCCAATAACAAGCGAGATAGCCTCCAGGTGTGGCCCCCCCCCCCCCCCCCCCTTTTAAGCAGCTTCACTGAAC